GATATGTAAAATCTTGTACCCTCGGAATTGGGTACCTATCGGGGAGCGTTACTGCATTTAAGCGTCGATAATCACCACATATGCGTAGATTACCATCTTTCTTCGTCACGACATGCATCGGACTGGCCCATGGACTTTTTGATGGTTGACATATACCCATTGACATCATTGATTCAAATTCCGTTTTAGCTGCTTTGTACTTGTTTGGTGCTAATGGGCGAGGTCTAGCGAATAGTGGGGGTCCAGTAGTCTCAATGTGGTGCTTCACATTATGTTTAATTTCTTTTGTAGATGTCATAGGCTTCAACACGTCGGTAAATTCTTGCAATAGCGCATGATAACGGTGGGTAGGTTCAACTACGTAAAGCGTTGTATCTTGATTTGTGCGTATCGCCGTCGTATTTACTGAAAGTTCGGTTAAGCTGTCAACCAGTTTCTTGCGATGAAGATCTACCAGCAGTCTATGGTGTCGTAGAAAGTCAGCTCCGAGGATTGACATCTTGACATCTGCCATAATGAATGTCCACTTGTAATTACGTCGCAGGCCAAGGTTGAGTTGTAGTGTTTTTTCTCCGTATGTTTTAATGGGGGTATTATTTGCAGCGAATAATTTGAAAGACGTTTCTATCGGTGTTCGCTTGTCTCTTACGGCTAGCACCGATATGTCCGCCCCAGTGTCGACTAGAAAACGTTCTCTTGAGTGTAAATCTGTTATACATAGGCGGTTGTTTCTATTCGCTACACCGACGTCCGCCACAGCCGATGTTGTCTTTAGTTTTCCGACGGTTTCCTAGCGCATGGCGGTTCACACTTCTTTGCCCTGTTTCCAAATCGATGATGATAATGGCACTCCCAGTCTGGATCGCCTGGTTTTTTGCCTGTTCTGGATCTTGAATGGGATCGTGATCTTGAACCGTAGTTGTTCTTTCGAAATGAATGAGACGACCGACGATGACTTGCATTTTCCTTCCTTAACGATGCGATTTCTAGGGTAAGCTTTTCAATCTGTTTGGTTAAGACTTGGAATTGTAGATCTTGACAACTACTGGGACTTGTGGATGGTATGCTTGAGACCTGACTGACTTCTGATATTGTCTGATCCGTGTGCTCCATCATCTTATCTGCCATCATTGCTTGTGTATCGAGACTTGCTTCTGTGTTTACAGATAAGACGGCTCGAACTTGTGACGGTAGATGTCCCATCCATAATATTTTCAGTGCATTATCGGGTACTTTCTCTCCAGCCAGTTCTCGCATCACCCGCAGCAGTTGTGTTGGTTTCTGATCACCTAGCTCCAATCCACTCAGGAGTTTCTGGAACTGTCGAGATTCAGATTCCTCATATACCGACAACAAACGTTTCTTCAAAGCGTTGTATTTTCCTATCTCTGGTGGTTTACAGATAATATCGCTGATTTGTTCTATGTCTTTTCTTTCTAGTACTGGAATCACCAAGTTGTATTTTTGTTCGTCGCTGGTCTTGTGAGGTGCTATAACTGCTTCAAATTGAGCGAACCAAAGCCTTGGTTGTGCACGCCAGAAATGTGGTATCTTCGCTTGCAGAGCAATTGCAGATATTTCCTGCTCATATTTTTCAGATGCAGCCATAGCGTCACCAAATTCTTCCATCGCAGAGGTCGGGGTCACCAATATGGGTTCTCTTGGGGTATTTAGTAAAACACCAATTATGCGAATTACCAGAATGATTTCGAATTTATTTAGACGGTCATATTTATACAAAATTTACTTAAAGCTACGTATATCTGATTGGTAAAATAAATGTCGAAGAATGCGCTCGGCCAATCAGAAACGTTCTTGCGTTCATATAAAAACTAACGCGGCGACCGGCCGCTCAGTGTTCTGAGGGTCGCAGGCGCAGGCGCACGTCTGTCGTCATCAAGGTACGGCTACAACGTCATGCAGCCGCATATAAAATATGTGCGGTTAGTCGGCCGCGCTCAGTCTTGGATCGCGCGCGGCGCGCGGCGGTCATGCTCGTCAATGATTATAGTTGTATGTCTCCCACACGTATTTTTTAACCTATAGTCGTAGGTACTGGGTTTTCTGTTAAATACTCCTCTGGGTTATTCTCAAAAACTGAATTTTTTGGAGAAACAGATGTTTTTACAGTCTAAATAGTAAATATCAAGTTTCTTGTATTGAATGAAAGAAGATCAGACCGACACACCTTCACAATAATAGGAGATTATACCTTTCCGTTCGTATCTCAAGTGGTATATTGTACTCTCTTTGTTACATGTCGTTGACCATAAACACAGTTTCATTCATGGCGGCCTGCCCTGACACGGTTATCTGAAAATAAAGTTTCCAACAGTTTGCAGTAAGAGTTTAAAATGTTATACGATAGATTTGTAGTGTTTCTGCACTGATGTATGGAGCATGCGTATGCGCAGGTGAAATTAAACAGTTTTAGAACTAGAACGAGTTTGTATTCCTAGGTTATTAATCCCGCAAGTAGACAGATGCTGGACTAGTAATGTTTAAGTCTTTCGTAATTTACTCAATGTTATTACTGTAATGACTTCAGATCTATTAACTATTTTAATTTTGTTTGAATGAAAGTGTACTTTATGGTGAAAGGACACTTGGTATTTAATTAAACTGTCAAACACCGCAAGGACACCGGTGACCGCAACCTATTGTTCTTTGATTGTTTCTACAATGACGGTACTCAAAGGGTTATCAAACATTAACGATGCTAACTGTTGCTACAACATGCTTTTCTGTTTTACTTTCCAACTGAAATATGTTTAAGTAAAAACAACAAAATATTGAGCATCTAAACAAAAATAGAAAATTGTGGTAAATATCGTATTTCTTTACATTCTATATCAGTGAAAAAGCGTTTATTATTTACCCTCATAAATATCTAGTAATGTAAAACAAGCAATTTTCCTCTGTCTGAAGAAGCCAGGTAACTGGGCGTACCTAGACATAATTCTCGTTCGAAATTCGAGTTTGCGCACTTAAAAATATCCAGTGTTCAAACATTGTGTGGACTTACATGAATATTACATTACATTGAGATTTATAAAGCTCTTTTTTCGTCTGGAAACCTTTTTTAGGGTCCATGTCCAAAAAGGATAGCTGGACTCTATTTTAGTATTAATTTTACGCTGTCTGCCTTCACCCTTCGTTGATTTAACTCAGAATGTACCTAATAACCTTTATAACAAAGAAAAAAATGAAGCTATTTGTAGAAAATTGACTATAAGTCCAATAGGCACTTGATGTTATTGAAATTCTATATTAAAGGGTAGGTTTCAGCAAAATTCAACTCAGGCAAAAGATTTGAACACGTACTTGTGGGTCCTGTAGATGTAGGAGTCCTAGTATAGCCTAGTACCGCTTCTGGACAGCGTCGTGCCTATTTTATTTAAAAATGAAAGGCTTTCATATTTGTGTATGTAATAACTGGTAAACTGACATCATTCAAAGTTTAAACCGTTTTTCCGCTTCGTCTGCCAACAGTATTTTGCGAAGTGCACACATAAATTGTATTGAACTGATGTACACGGTACGCATTCTTGCGCCGCAATGCGGCCAGATGCGGCACGGCTATGCGCTTAGCTTTACAGAAATTTTATTAATGTACATACTAGTGTATGGTCACTGCGACGCTTGAAGTAGGCCTCTATTTCGTATGACACTAATGTATCCGGTATATGACATACAAACATGAGAACGAAATGATTGAATGGTTTTTGCGACTACCACCCAGCACTTAATCACAGACACACATACATAATTCTGTGCAATTATAGGCTCTGCTTTTTATCCAACCACCGCTGCCTTACGTCATATGCATTCTTTGTACGACATAAATACTTAGTTCCGGGAAACACGAACTTTGAATAGAATATTGTACTTAATTTATATTGCATAATGCTAGATGCTCGTACGGTCTCCTTTCTCTCACCCGCTATTACCGTGAAGGTGAATTCAATCGATAATGGGCAAAACAATTAAACTAAAAACGTAAAATCGCAATTCTTTTGTGGCGTGCGTGAATTGAATTTTTATTGTACCTAGGTAATCTAGTTTTTGACGAGTGACGCCTTACTTTTGGTGCTGATGCAAAAAGTAAGCCGTTACCTATTTTTATATTCTTTGAACTTTATAAATTGTTGAGTCTATCGAGCTAGTCGTTTTTGTTGAATTCGAGAAAAACCTAAATATTTAATCATGACTGGCAGTGCTGTTTTGGTACAGTTTGTGTAGTCATTCAAAATTTAATCTGTTAGTTCAAGTCTTGTTAGTAAAATCCAAATGAAATTAGTAATGAATAGATGAACGAGGTACAAAAAGTACTCTCTACACTTTACTTCTTTGTTGTGAAATTTTCAGCACAAAAGCATGAATGTAAGAAATGATTTACCTCATTTAGGACCTAGCCTTATTAGCTACATTGTAATTAAATAGTTTCGGTAAATTCCGCAGTACCTAATCGTGTCACTTGTTCATTGTGTACGTTTATATTTAACGCGGATTGTGACGTGACGTACCGACTATGACCCACCTGTTAACTAAATACCGTTATTATATATGTATGTGTACTTACTTATTTACCTTAAATTTTAAACGTATAGCTCCATTGGCAAACAGATTTATTTATTTTGTACTATGCCAGGCTTCCTGTGTGCTGTTCCTGGCGAAAATAGGTCACTTGCTTTGGATATTGTATGAGGCGATATGAGGCGACTGAATTGATGTCGGATGAGCAGTGTCCATGCTCACTCTAAGTAGTGACTCTATTGAATCATAACGACGATTAATGTCTTGTTTTTATGCCCATTAATAATAGTGTTAATCGATTAAGCACTATGAATATATGCTTCCTACAGTTTACATTCGAAAATCAGCGTCATACATGATTCTTTGTAAAAAAAACAACAGGAAAATACCAAGAAACTAGACTTAAGGAAAATGTTCTATCTAAGAACTAGTAAAATGTATACCGATGTTTTTATCAATTCCAGAGTGACTCGGTGAGCTATTTCTTCGATGAACTGGAGCGCATTGCGAGACCTGACTACATCCCCTCCCACCAAGACATCCTGCACTGTCGGAAGGCCACGAAGGGCATCACGGAATGTACAATCAACATCAACAACGTGCCATTTGTATTTGTCGACGTGGGAGGGCAGCGGACACAGCGGCAGAAATGGACGCAGTGCTTCGATTCCGTCACGTCCATACTCTTCCTCGTCTCCTCTTCAGAGTTCGACCAAGTCTTGTCGGAAGACAGGTAATTTATTGTTTCATTGCGTTTATTTACGACACCGACCTTTCATTCGACCACATCTATTCTTAACCATCAAGTCGTTTAAATGATAGTCATTTAATTAAAGCGAATAAATCATTCAATTTTAGAATAATTACCGCAGTACACGTTCCTTCTTACCAAGATTAATGAAAACATTAATTTATTCGCGTTCAAAAATGAATATTCATTAAAGAAGTAATCAACTGGTAAAATGCGAAAGCTGATTACTTAGTGGAGTGTCGTTATAAAGAATTTAATATACAAATAGTACAGACTCCGCCCACGCTGTCGGATCATAAAGCAGTCATACCGCACATTACATAAACATATATTCTAAAATAATTATCGTGTAAGAGAAGTGAGGGGGTGTGCAAAACAACAAAAAAAAAAAATACTGAACTATTTTCTATACGAGCGAAAGCTATTAGTTACGGACGTCATTGAAGCAGACCGCTCGCGGGATGAATGAAGTTTTCCTGAAGCGAAAATTCTTTTATCTTTTTAAATCTCCGCGTGAAACTTGATTCATAACACCTGGATTAATGGTTGAACCAAACTAGAGTGACTTATCTATGGACTACGATATAAGTACCTGTAATACGCAGTGTCGCAATTTTGTTGCATATGCGGCAAAACGTTGTCTATCTAAAAGTAAATAAATATAGTGTTACGTCACTTGTTGCGAGTTAATGATGAATCATGGTACAATCAACGGGTGATCGTTGTGACGAGAAAATCACATTTTATGACTACATCCATCCATATTACACATAGTTTTACTAACCGCGAAATTGTTTTTGTTTGTTTTCTTAAAGAATATCGTCATTCATATACTGTTATTACTCCTTATTTCTCTCAAAGGGATATTGTTCAGATTGACGTAATTTTTCATCTATTTTTCGTATGATAAATGCTATATTATGCATATTTTTGAAGAAACGACGCTGTTATCACGATTCGCGTATCAATCTAGAATTCTAGGGCTTAGGTACGTTACGCGGACTGGTATCAGCTCTGTGGAACAACTTTTCTGCTTGGCCAATGACAAGGACCAGTTCAAAAAGCTGACGGCCAACCTTCAGAAATGCAGTGGCACCATAAGAACAAGTAGAAGAAGAGCTTAAGTTGCCTTTATAGATTGATAATCACTACATAGTATAAAACAAAGTCGCTATCCGCCGTCTGTCTATCCCTATGTATGCTTAGATTTTTAAAACTACGCAACAGATTTTGATGCGGTTTTTTTAAGTAGATAGAGTGATTCTTCAGAAAGGTTTACATGTATAATACATGCATATTGCACCCGTGCGAAGCCGGGGCGGGTCGCATGTAAATAATAGATTAAAGACACAGTTAATAAGTTTTTATATAATCAATTATACCTTCCTATAAAAGAAAGTTTGTTTTTTCCCTGTCAACCGCAAACACGATGGCAAATACAATCACCGCATTAATCATGGTATAATGACCTGTCATTGCCCACCATTGCGATACTTTGAACCTTACGTAAATAACTTTATTAACATTAAAACGTTAATGACGATTTGCTCTTATCTCTTGTGGGAAAATGTATGAACAGACATCTTTTGAATGTGTATATGTAAATGAGATTCGTATCACAATACAAACATGTTTAGATGAAAGTATTTTTTTTGCCGAGTCAGCATGTATGTACTCGTGGATGGTATGGAAATTGTAGTTTTATAACATAAACATAACATACAATCCCGCTTTTTATCCCCGAAAGGATAGGCAGAGGTGCACAATATCTAAGACACTATTTATGTTATGAGTCTCATGTAATAGGGGGTGAACCTATTGCCATATACCGGGCACAATTCTAGATTCCGTGCTTCTACGGAGATTTTTTTAAAAACACAGTAATACTTTACCCGATCTGGGAATCGAACCCGAGACCCCTTGCCTGGTAGGCAGTCAAATTATAATTTAACAGTAATCTAAACTAACATTATATGAATGCGGATGATATTATTTTCTTGTTAAAGCTTTCCATGTGTACATAATTTTCAAAATAAACTGGAAATGACATAAAGTATTGATTTGATAATTGAGAAATAATATTAAACGAGCAAAGTCATAGCCAGACGCTTATATCTTTCAATTAAAATTCAGTACAGGGTGATCCAATGTGGAATCCGAATTTCCTTTGTCGATAAGGAACTTGTCAATTGTACAGTAAAAACCAATTGTACGGGTATCTCCTTCGACCCAGTGACTCATTGGTCATCGATGTCACAAACCAATATACGGATGTTTGATTTGTGGTGCCGGTGTGCTTGACCTTAACTTGAAAATTACTTAATGTAGTAACAATGCACTGACTAAGAGACCACTTTTTAAAGGGGGAATCTTTTAAACCGGTCTTTTAAGGGTACGTTCGACAAAAGAGAGGTTTGATTAAATTATATGCTCAATTTAAGAATGTATACCTTACCTTGCTCTCGACAGTACTACGATAGTAGGGTAGATGCCTAATTTTTATTTTAATGTCCGTCTGGTAGATGATTTTAAATCATTAGACACGTATTTTTTATTTTCTTACAGAAACGAATACTTTTTACGATATATTGATTTGAAATGTCACGTGACGTCATTTCTATATACATTTTAAACGTAGAAATGACGTTTTAGCCCCCACTCCTAAACTTTGTTTAATTTTATCTAAGTATTATTTTATTATACGACAAAATAAAAAAATACGTGTCTAATATTTTTTCATTACCTAACTTACGGACTGATTAGATTTTTAATTTTCATACCCCGTCATCATCACTGTTCTACACCATAACCAGCGGATAGTCTTCATAATTTTTATGAATGAAGTTCAATTGAGAAACGGCTACATATGTTACCTACAATAGGCTCTTATTGCACTAACAATAGGGTTAATATTAACTTGAAAAAATGTCTCAATTTTCGCCATAATAGTTTAGTGAAAGTTATAGTATATAGTATTCATATTTTTCGCGTCACTTAGTTACGGTGTTTGAACACAATACAAGGTGACTGAAAACATGACATTTAAATTTTGTTGACCCGAATCTTGTTGCGTGTTTTCCGTAGCCCACTTCGGCCTACCGACGGCACAACGGAATAATTTTCATCGATTGAGGTTTTAAGTAGGTAGTAAATCACCCCCTGTCTGAGTCTGGGTAGTTAAAGTAGGTTTCTTAAATAAATGTGTTTGTAGAATGTCGGATGTCGGCGATTATTTTAGGTTTAAAGTCTCATTCTAGATTAATATTGAAAGCAATAACAGGTTGTGATAAATATTTTTTTCAGGCACTTTGTTTAGTTCGGAATTTAACTACGTTGAGATGCCAACAAATTGAATGAGGAGCGAATATTTGTTTTTCAAATAAACACATTTCTATCACGACCTTTAACATATAAACACAGTAATAAAATAATCCTGTACAATTTGTTTTTGATCGAAGAAAAATCCCTATTCAATGAACCATGTTCGTAAACATATTTTTACCTTTCATTCAAAGCTAATTTATTTAGTGAATTCATTAAACATCGGTATGAAATTACCGGCGTAATGTGACTACTAAAAATACATTAATTTTATTTCTGTTCCACATATTGGTAACGTTCACATCGTAAAACCATTTTGATGCCAATAAAATGTATAATTATGATTTTATATAAGACAAATATGTATTTCTAGTATTGCTACACGTGTCTGCGTTATGTGCGTGTTTATTTGCACTAAATTATTATTCTTAGTTAAGAAAATATGACGTGAAACTAACGTAGTAGAAAAAGAACACTTCAGTGACACGGCTACCTTTTTAGATGAATTAATTTGTTAACATTCATTAAACATTTAATCTCTCACTTCTATAGACAAACCACAGAGGGTAATCAAACGGAAAGTTTAATTTATTATTCTATTTCGAAATGAAAAGGTACCCGAGGGATTAGAAACTCAATTTCAACATTAGAACGAGTGAACCACAGCCACAAACTAGTTATGTGAATAAAGTTTTATGGCGGCCCTAAAATATTTGCCTAACATATCTATGGTACGCCCAGACGTATTCCTTTGATGTTGTTTGTTACATTTTTGCGTTACGCCGTATACGTATTTCGGAATGGTGAATGGAATGGAATTAGGTCGTTTTTTCAGCTTAAATATACACATTTTTTGGACTGATGTATTTGCACATGTGTTCGGATGATCGGTTTATTTGGTTTATAGATGTCTGACGTCTTTATGCGACAAAGTCACACTGAGACGACTAGTATTTGTTATAGGAAAATTCTTTATATTCTAGCTCTTGAAGTTGGCTCCTGTGCCTTTAGCCAAACGCCACTTTAGCGCTTGTCTACAGAGTAGAAAAAATTTACGTCAATATAATTTAGTTTCTACTCTACAAGTAGACAAGCGTTAAATGGCATTTGGCTACAGCTGCAGGGAAGCTGAAGTTAAATCAAAATAATCCGCTAGATATAGCTAATCGCTCCATTGATTCCCCGTATCTTAGCAGTATATCATTCGACATCCGGCTGACCAGATCAAGGTCGCGATAATGTAGTATATTGTCATTGAGATCATGTAATTATGTGCATTAATACTAAGGGACACTATTTAATATTTATCATACACTCCTGCACAGTTAATTCATGCCAAGAATCTGCTTTAATTTTTCCTCCGACGATTTCATTATAAGTGTGATTGTCAAGGTTAATTGTGATATTTGTTTGTTGGTCTGATAAAATATATTAATTAAATAATCATAGTTTTAAATGTCACTGTCTTAGATATTAATAAGATAATGCAATAGGATGTAGAATATCTTGTTACAAACCAAGAAGTGTAGTTTTTAAAATTTGTATTTGTGATTTGACATTTAATTTAAGATGATCCTATTACTGGCGATTAAAATAGGTTCAGAACGCAACAAGACTAACGCTATACTGTTCTCTGATTCCAGGAAAACGAACCGCCTAGAAGAGGCGCTAAATATCTTCGACACGATCGTGAACAACGTAAACTTTAAAGGCATCTCCATCATCTTGTTCCTGAACAAGTCGGACCTACTGGCGCGGAAGGTGGCCAGCAAGGAGACGGACATCCGCTGGTTCTACCCGCAGTTCGCGGGCGACCCGCACAACCTGCGCGACGTGCAGATGTTCCTGCTCAACATGTTCGCCAACGTCCGCCGCGAGCCCAAGACGACGCTGTACCACCACTTCACCACCGCCATCGACACGCACAACATCGAGGTCGTCTTCAACTCCGTCAAGGACACGATCCTCAATCGTAACCTAGAATCGCTCATGCTGCAGTGACGGACCAAACAAACTGTAACAACGGAATTGTTAAATTGTGATATCTGGCAATATTCTGATTTCGTGATTCCACTTCGCGACTTTTTTCCATATTTGTGTTTTGTTTCTATACTTTGCTAAACAGCATAATAGTGTAAAGCACATTTGAAAAGACAAAGAATGTGATGTTGATGGCCTAACGGTCTGTTAGAGCGGCTCTGTATAAATGTAATATGACATGTATTTATTTACCAAACGTATGGGATTTGGTAAAACTATGTACCTTAGTGTAACGTATTGTAATTATAAAATTTGTATATCAGTATATTTATGACCAAAAATGTAGATTTTGCACGTGATGGACATTATTATGATCATTTTGAGATATGAACACGCGCGTCACGTCATGTGGACGCGCCGTAGTGCAGTATCGTATCACGCAACACGTAAGTGCGCAATATTGTAAACGTAGTGAATTAGATAAAGTGCGGTAAGCCAGGGGGATTTTTGAACTTTTGCCGTTTTCTATAACGTTTTCTTGATGACTGTAGATTCTTTTATACTGATTACACTTTAAACCAGCTTGCGGTTGTACTAGTGGTGGGATTGACACCTTGGTTGGAGTACATTATAATAAAATGCCATGTAACCCCTATTTATGCAGTAAGTACACAATTATATCAAAATTCCCCGTGTTGTATCACAGCTTGACGCCACAGTTACTCCAATGAAGCGGTCAGTCCTGTCCACTTCGCAAGCTCTCTCAATGTAGCAGTGCCAAGTCGTAGCACGAGTGGGTGGGTGCAGTGCCGGCTGCCGCTATATCATATAGATGTAGTTACAATGAGATTGCTCTTATAGGGTGCCACGAAGCGAAGGAACACCTTTGCGTTGGGAAGACTTTATATAAATCCCTCCCGGGAGTAAAAATGTATATAAATAACCATTGTTAGAGAAATCGTTTATAATCTGTGATTAAAAGTGTAAAAAGTATTAGGCTGTAAACAGCAACGAAATGTAATGTGTCTCTTGCAGAAGAAAATGCTTTTTGACGTTTGACACGGTTGACATATGACGCTCAAATTTTTTAATTCATTACGCTGATGTTGGGATCTTTTGAGTCGGGTGTTCTCATCGAGTATTCCGTCCCTTGGCACAATTTAATGCAAAGACGTGTAATCTCACTATAGCTTCTACGTATTTTTAATTATAAAAATTTTGTACAATATACAAGATATATTTTAAAGGCGGGCACAAAGGTGTACAACCTTTTTGATAATTTTAACGTGAATTTAATCTGCACTTGCTTTTGTACGTGAGAGGGAATGATCTGATTTTAATTATTATTTAAGTACAACGCATAATTTTCGATCATAATAATTATACTCATTTAGTTTTAAGTGTCATAAGCTTTAGCATATTTATTTTGAGATCGTCTACAACTATTGTTTATTTACGTGAGAGTTTTAGATAGAAGTTATCTATTTATTATGTGTACATTTTTATGGATGGTTTACTGAGGCTAAATGTGTAAATACCTCTTAACTTTATTATGTATATCGTTTCTTAGTAGTTTTAGTTTTTAAAATTTCGTTTAATATAATGGTCTGATCGGTTAGAAATGAATTACGGATTTTATTTCCAATATCAGTGATAAATTTGCATTTAGTAGTGCCATTGTGTGGTGCAAACAGTGTTGCCACTGGAAATAAAAACAAGCCTAACAATATACTGTCAACACTGCCGCGTAAAAAGTCGTTTGAAATTAAATATCAGATTAATAATGGAATATTATTGTAATTCAGTGTTATTTTATTACAATCAATAGTTTGACAGTTTTTGACAATTTAGACGTTTATAAAGTAACTTGCATTGATGCCAAAGTTTGACTAACATCTGATGACGCGACGGAATGATATATAATGTGTATACAATTGTTGGGTGCTCAGTATTTGTATCTGATAGCATGCTCAGTAAGGCCTGGCTTCTGAGATATTGTACACTCTCGAATACATTAATATAAGTAAATACGACGATGTTTTAATTTCTCTATATCTTTTCAAAAATGTTATAAACTAATTTCAAGTTCAGAATGATTAATTATATTCTAAAATTTATTAAATCATACCTATTTTAGCTAAAAATGCTAATTTATTTGACCTAAATTTTAATTCGAAGTACAATAAATATAATTAACGAGCAAACGAAGAACTCTTCAGTTTTTACGTCTGTTACATATCTCGATAATTTTATTATTGCTAAAAAAATATGGTTTTAGGAGTGTATAGAAGGCACTTGCGTCCATTACCATCTCATATGATGACTTTTCTATGAAACTAGACTATGCAATTTGATTTGTTATTGTTAAAATTGACACAGATTGCCGATATCTATGAAGTCAGGCCTTTAAATGGAACACTACAATCCTGATGACTAGTGCCTATGTATAAAAGCCTTCATTGCACATAGTAACGTAAATCCTTATCATTAACGTTCAAAATTGCGTGGCAACGGTATTGGTAATCAGTAGTACTAATGTCTGTATAATTTCTCAAGTGGTTAGACACTCTAATTGTAGTACTAAACTATACTTTGCTTTACTTTAAAAACTTAAGTTTCAAGGATTTCTCGTATCAAAATTGTTTTTCTTTTCTTTGGAACTGTATTCTTATTCTGATGACGGCCATTCTCTATAACTTATACTGAATTTGGGTATAAACGCCAGTAGGTCAAGTTACTCTTTTCTGTCAAAGTCTTTTATTAGATTTTCAACTGTATTGTGTTGGTATAAAGTTGAAAGTCCAATAAAATTGAGGAGTACGTTGATCCGCTTGCCTTAATAGTAGAGCTAGTATGATTACATACATACATAACTTCACGCCTGTCTCCCATGGGGGTAGGCAGAGACTAAGGAACGCCAATTACTACGATTCTTACATACCTCTTTCGCTTCATTAACAGTCATCAATCTTTTCATGCATGCTCGTCGGTTAAGGGTACTTTTAATTTGGCCCTTCTTTAATATATCGCCAATCTGGTCACTATATGTCCGTCTAGGGCGCCCTCTACCGACGGCTCCATTCATATCCGCTCTGTATACTTCTTTCGTTACTCTACTTTCATCCATCCTTTCTACATGTCCAAACCAGCGTAACATTCCCTTTTCAATCCTTGTCACTACATCGTCTTTCAATCCACACCTCTCTCTAATAACACTATTTTTCACTCGATCACTCAATTTTAGTCCACACATACTTCTCAGGGCTCTCATTTCCACCACATTAATCCTGCTTTCATGCTTCTTCTGCCACACCCATGATTCACTACCATACATAAGCGTTGGTGTCAATACACACTGCATTACAGCAAGTCGAGCTTTGCTGGATATTATTTTACTCGACATTACAGAGTGTAAAGCACCATTAACACTATTTCCCGCTTTCACTCTCCTTTCAATATCCCCGTCACACTTTCCATCTCTCGTAAATAGTGATCCCAGATAAACAAATTCATTCACTTGTTCCAATTTTTCATCACCTATCATTACCTGACATTCTGTTATCACCTCATTTCTTTCTATCACCAACACTTTCGTCTTGTTCACATTTATTTTCATACCTTTCCTTTCAAATGCATCACTCATAGCAGTGACCATTTGTTGTAATTCTTGGGCCGACGAGGCAACAAGCACCTGGTCGTCGGCATACAACAATGTTTTAATCACTGTGTCATTCATCCTTAATCCAGGCTCTCCTACTTTCAGGTCGTTCAAACAACTGTCCATAAATAGGTTGAACAGCCAAGGAGATGCTACACAGCCTTGCCTAACACCGCGATTAATGTCAAACCACTCCGTGTAGTCCCCATTTATTCTGACACAGGCACTCGAGTCCTTATATAAGGATTTAAGTGCCCGAATCAGGAGGCTATCCACCCCATACATGGACAGAGTTGACCACAATTCATCCCTCACCACTCTGTCATAAGCCTTTTCTAGGTCTATAAAGGCACAAAATACCTTTTGGTGCTTTGATAACACTTTCTCTGAAATGCACCGTAACGAAAAGACTTGATCCGTACACCCCATTCCCTTTCGAAATCCCGCTTGCACATCCCAGATTTTACGCTCAGTTACATCCATCACTCTTTCGATCAATACCTTGGCATACAACTTTCCTACTACGCTTAGGAGGCTTATACCGCGATAATTTTTGCACTCCTGCTGTGATCCTTTTCCTTTATATAGTGGCACAATTACGGCCTTGGCCCAGTCTCCCGGGACACGACCGCACCGCCAACACTTACGAAAAAGTAGATACAGCAGGCTTGCAATTACACCTCCACCCTCTGTTAGCATTTCAGAAGTTATCCTATCACATCCCGCTGCTTTACCTACTTTCAAACTCTTAATGGCACTCACAGGAGAGATTTTGTATGGGAATTCTGCTAAGTAGTTGCTAGGTAGGTTATTGAGAATGGTCATAGTATTTTTTTCAGTATACAATTCAGAGTGTCTAGTAAAATCACAGGTGATAGCATAACAAACTATACTTTAATGGAGTATTGGAGTCTCAATAAAAGTTGCTGTTAATACATTTTTAACCCGTCGTGTGTCTAAACGTGGATCCACGCGACACAAAATGTGTCATTCAAGCGGTTAAACATTCTTTCCTATCTATCTATAGGTTCATCAGGAAATAACTGCTCAAAATTATATCATCCATTTAGAAACGTCAAGTGTACACAGTTTTCAACAATCTGCCAATCACTAATATTTATGTTTTTATGGGCCGACGTTTTATGTTTTATACTTTTCAAGCCGAAACCTGGTGTACTAACGACTTGTTAAAAGATGAATGTCGAATCTCCACTTAGTATATTTATTTTGAAACTAGTTAGTGAATCTAAAAATCCTACTTTATTTACAGTTTATCTTATAATATAAAGGTATAGTTTGATGCGCAATCGCCGTAACTATCTTTTACGAACCACTAATGACAAAGCATTATCTACTCGATCAA